ATTGCTGAATTTTTCGTTTCCCTTCTCTTCTTTAGTTTGCCTCAACCAAATGCTATGAAACTTATACACAATGCTTATTACCACAAAACACAGATCAAGTGTGAATTATGGTGGTGTCACTTTAACCGTTCTAGAGTTATGCCCCTTTACAAATGGAAAAAATGCTGAATTTTTCGTTTCCGTTCTCTAACTTTAGTTAGCCTCAACCAAATTTTATGAAACTTATATACAATACTTATTACCACAACACTCAAATCAAGTTCAAATTTGGGTAGCGTCACTTTTACCGTTCTTCAGTTAAGTCCCTTTATAACTTTATATGATATGCAAGCGGGGGCATCACCTGTGTCTCATGGACACATTCCACATTTATTTAGTTTTGTAACATAGTTGCGTTGACGCCTATATTCTTCCCAGTCCTTATTATCACTGACTTTTGAAATTTATTAGACAGCATTTTTTTCCTATAAATAACACTTTTAAGATCTGCATTCATATATAGTACCTGATTTGGAAATATTTTTCTTTCCGTCAAAGGTGCATGTTTCTCGGCTAACTCAATTAAACGTTTACTAAAATTATCATATGCTGCATTTACATTATCAAATTCAGATTTATCAAAATTCTGATTTTCTAAATCTTTTTAAAAATTTGGAGCATGAAAATTCTTAAAACTTCTGCATATCTTCCTTTTTGGTAAAATGTTTGGTAAATCACAATTTAGCTGCACCGATATAAAGTTGTGCACATCACTTATTCCAGTACCAACATTACATAGCTTTTTAAAATCGCAGTCATGATTCATTGAAATCAAATCTAAAAGGGTTGCTTAAGCAATTTTGTAAAACATGTAGCTTTCTCAATGATGTTTTTTAAATTAAAAATATCACAGATTTCTCATTAGCCCGAACTCCTACGTCGTTCGTGTCAAGTATGGTCACCCGAGCCGAAGAGATTAAATGACCTATAACGACTTGCTTGGTCAATAACTATAACATATCGAAGGGCGTTTAGTACAGTGATTTTGTCATGGTTTGGTTCAGTTGGATAAGATTGTGTTCAGTGTTTTTAATAACAAACAATGACACAATATAAACATTCTTATATTTACTTAAGGGACTTCCGAACATGAATTGAAGCTGGTAATTATCTTGGTTTATGGCTAATTTGTTAGTTAGTTCGAATTTGTATCATATAGTAAATAATTTAACACAGAAAAATGCTTGTGTATGTAAAAAATTAAAAGTTGTTTTCTCGTTTACAAACAATTTAAAGAAAATTTGTTTATTGTCTGTAATATCCCATATTTCGTTATATTATACTTTTGCCGTCATTTGTTACGAAAAAATAGTTACTTTTGCACATAATTTAAGATTACTGAAAATTCAGTGTCATGGTGTCATGGTTCATGTTCACGTTCATGTTCGACATGGTTAAGTTCTGTGATTCTTATCGTGTTTGAAGGAAAGGTGACGATGAAATAAAATATACGTTATACAACTAATATAATAAAATTATTTCGCGGACTCTTTATTTTTGCGTTTAATCCATTCTATCCTATTTCGCGGCAATATAGTGTCGCCATTTCCAAATGTTCTTGTTTTGTTCATATATGGATAAAGTTTTACATATTAACGTGGATTTCTAACTCGCGAAAAAGCAAATAGCTCTTGAAAAAAGTCGTTAACAGTAAATCTAAAATACTAGCATTATAGAATACGCATGTATATCGAAATCACGAGGATAATACATTAATGCGTTTCAATAGAAATTTACTTTAAAAATTGTTTTATTTGGTATAAAAAAAAGACGTTTGAAATTACATAGTAATATATAATAAGTAGATGCGGTATGATTGCCAATGAGACAACTATCCACCCGAGAACAAATTACGTAGATGTTAGTAACTATAGGTTATCGTACGACCTTCAACAATTAGCAAAACCCATACCGCATAGCAAGCTATAAAAGACCCCGGCAACATAAAATGTAAAACAATTAAAATGATAACTAAATGCCTGATCTATGTACAAAACAATCAACAAAACACAAACATGATATACAGTAACAAATGACAGCCACTGCTTTCCAGGCTTTCTTTATATAACGTGTATCTTGGAATTCAAATAATTTCAATCATATTTAATATGCACAATTTCTCATACTTAATACTAGATCGACTGAACTTTTTCTTTTTCTCCAAACTTTATATCATAAAAGAATAAAATGCGCTGCAAGACGCAGCTTGACACGACAGCAAAGGTCGAACCCTGAACAGTTGGGCGAGTAAAGACCCAACATGCAAGCTTGATACAGCTCTGAATTTGGATTTTGATAAAATATTTGACACAGCATAGGTTTCTGACAAAGAATGATTGGTTTAAAAAATTAAAATATTGTAATTTGACATTTACCTATTATGGTTCAATATCCAAAATTTAAATACATGGTTAGATTAAGCATATCAAAGATCCCTAAGAATTCAATTTTTCGTGAAATCAAACAGTTTAATTTTGACCCTTTGGACCTCATAGTTGACAAATTTAAGAACGGGGTCCAAAATCTAAAATCTAAATACCCGGTTAGATTCAGCATATCAAAGGACTCCACATATTTATGTTTTGTTGAAATCAAACAAAGTTTAATTTTGGAACCTGATTTGGACCAACTTGAAAACATGGCCCCAAATAAAAAAAAAAAAAAACATATTACTAGTAACATGATTAAGATTCAGCATATGAAAAAAAACCCCAAAAAATGATTTTAATTAAAATCAAACTTACTTGGTGTAATTTTGGACACTTTGGACTTTATGTTGATCAATTTGAAAACCAGGTCCAAAATCAAAAATCATAATACACGGTTAGATTCAGTATATCAAAAAACCCCAAAAGGTCATTTTTTGCTGAAATCAAATAAAGTTTTTATTTTTGACTCTTTGGACCTTAATATGGACCAATTTGAAAACGTGGCCCAAATAAAAAATATAAATACATGGTTAGAATCATCATATTTAAGAACCACCAGAATTTCAAGAAAAGTATTATTGTTGGCCCATTTTTCTTAGACGGTTAGAGCCATATCCCCCAAAATTAATCCCATCCATCTGTTTTGGTATGGAACCTTGTGGTACAATTTCATGGGGATCCTTAGACTTATACTCAAGTTAATGTCTGGAAACAACAAAACACTTGTTTTTTTGCCCCTTTTTTTGCCCAAAATTTCTAAACGGCTTGGGTCTTAACCCCCAAAATCAACCACAATCTTCATTTTGAGGTATATAACTTGTGGTAAAATAAATATTTGATAGAGATCTATACACTTATGCACAAGCTATTGTCCAGAAACAATGAGCATGCTTGTTGTTTACCCATAATTCCTACACAGCTAAGACAATAACCTCCAAAATCGATCACAATCTTCCTTTTGTGGTATGGGACCTTGTGGTACAATTTCACAGAGATCCATACAATGATACTGAAGCTATTGTCTGGAAACCAAATATCTTCGGACGAGGACGATCAAGACGAAGACGAAACATCATACCATTAAATGTATAAAAAAGCCCAAACGGATTAAGCGATACTACACAATACAATTATACAATATGACAACATAATCGTTCTTTTATATATCTATTCGTAAAATTAATATACTTGATAAAAATGGACATTATCTTGATCTGTTCCATTAATAAAATTTTTTTTGACTCCGATGCACAACTTTATGGAATATTTTGTTTTCAATGCTCTTAAACTTAATCATTTTTTATACTTCGAAAGGTTTAAATGCGGGCACCGCCGACGAGTCACAAAAATATTTCAATTTAGTGTTACATATTCAAGAAATAAGGATTTTGAGGGGATATGTGCACCTTAATCTTATGTTTGTCCTAAACCATTTTGACTGTCTGTGTTTAATTTATTCACAACTTTATAGACTTGGGGCGATTAGGAGATTGGCATACAGTATAGACAGCTGTCTTTTGTATTTATTTTGTTTTAGCTTTGATGGATATAAAAATAAGGAGAAGTGGTATGATTGCAAATGAGACAACTATCCACTCAAGCTCAAATGAAGTGGATGTAAGCCGTTACAGGCAACTATACGGCCTTCAACAATGAGAAAATTCATACCGTATAGTCGGCTATAAAAAGGCACCGACATGAAAAATATAAAACAATTTAATTGAAAAAAATAACGGCCTAATCTATAACAAAACATATAACGAAAAAAAATATAAGACAGGAAACATGAATGTGCACTGATTTATATTTTAGTCTAAGATGCATGCTTTTTTATTAGTTTTTATTGGTTTTGAACTAGCTGTCAGATCTGTCCTTAGTGTCTTTTTTGTTGTTGGGATGTACAAGTACCCTGCCACGTCCACTTTGTGTTTTGTTAGATGTATTTCTGCTTTGTATCTATCTGTTGAGTTAAGCACTTTTCAACTGAATTTTATAGTTTGTTCTTATGCTGTACTGTTACATCAGGAGCTGGTAATGTAGTGGTTGTCGTTTATTGCTGTTTCTCATATTTGATTTTCTTTTGTATAGTTTGTTCTTGTGTTATGCCGTTGCTCCATTGTCCCACGTTATGGAGAGGGTGTGGCGCCAACAAACTAGATTAACCCCGCAACATTCTGTATGTGTCTGTCCCAAGTCAGGAGCCTGTAATTCAGTGATTGTCGTTTATGTGAAGTATTTTTTATTAAATTTTTCTTGACATTTGTTTCCCTGCTCGTTTTATTCTAAACAATTACACAATGTTCTGTTACAAAATCATTACTACGCATACTAGGTGTTATAACTTCTTAAAATTGAAGACAGAAGAAATAACTATCCTTTTATTTGTAAATCTTTTGTAATATTGACACAGTACCATAATCTTGTAGGCACAACATTGTTGAACGCAAATAAGTACTAAATATGCTACGGTCATGTCCTTCACATCTGTATGCATTTAAGCTTTATAAACAAACTTCGGGCTTCTTTCGGCAGGAGTGTTAAAAAAGATCACGATTTTCTGACCAGTTTTTTTGATAAACCAAGACGTCGCATTTGTGTTGTAACATCTATATTGGAAACTGCTGACAAAACAGTTATTGAGTGTTGCAGCAAAAGTAGAGCCCATGGTAGCGTTTCGGCAGAGGTATGTATCTTTGTGAATTATTTTTACAATAAAAAAGCAAATATTTTGAAAGACCTGTATCATATCCTGGACTGTTAAATAAGAGGCTGTTTTGTTTGTGTGATTGTTGTATTACTAAGAGAGGAATTATTCCACTGGTATATTTTCCAATAATTTACCGAAGATTATTTTTTCCCTTTTATGTCAGATTGTGGTTGTAAAGGTAAGAAAAACAGCCAATGCAAAAACATGTTTTTATAAGGAATTAAGTAATGTATCGAGCCCTAAAGCCCCCTTCTTAATCAGGCCGTGACAAACATTGCAAGTTAAGGAAAACGACATTCATGATTATCACAAGGATAGTTTCTGTTTTTTTCTGAAATTAATACTTTTTCTATTTTGTAGATATAAATTCTTAAGCATTGTGACAGTCTTTCTACATTCGTGTTTCAGAGATAGGGTAGAGTAACGCTCTCACCGAGGCTAACTAAAATCATATATTTTTCCTTAATACTGAATCATGATGTACTGTACAGTACAAATCCATACATTGGCGGTTTGTTAAAGCTTGTATTCAGTAAAGAATGTATTATTAAGAATTACAGCATTTAATAGAGTGTTCTTCTGCTTTGGACCTTGTCGAGTCTTTGTAGCAGTTAGGCATAAATTAAGTATTCGGAAAAATTTATGTCTTATCCTTAAGAAAAGTTTACAATGTGAGCAAACTAAACCGTGTTATTTTTAAAACTTGAATAATCAAACGATATCCAATCTCTTTTCATTAATTTCTAATTTCCTTCCTTATTATATAAATTCTCGGAAACTTACATTATCAAGATGCTTGATATCTTGATTGACATCATATTCATTACATTTGGAGGACGTGTTTGTCAACAAATAATTAGTATTCCCATGGGAACCAACTTAAAGGAAGCTTATTTCATACAGGAGTTTTTGAGGAAAAATGAAAAGAAACTACCTTTACTTTTTCACTTCACGTTCCACTTTATAAATTATGTCCTCTCAATAAATAATTCAAAGTTTGGTGAGTATGTTGAAAGCAACTATCCAATCGCACTTGTAATAAAAGATACAACAGATACAGTTAAATCTACATCATATCTTGAATTAAATCTAGAAAGGGATAATGAAGATCGGTTTAGAACTTAACTTTACGACCAAAATATCTTTCAGTTTATACTATATTACAGAGCTTGCATTTTGTATTATGATTTCATGATAGAGGGTTGCTTCTTACAAGGACGCTAAGTGGTGAAGTTAAAACCATCCCATTGAGATAATTTTACGGACGCCATCACGAGTCGGTTGTCCGTTATGGAATATCTGTTTCACAGATGTTTCAATTGTTGTAACCACAATCCCAAATGTGACATACCGAATTATAATCATCACCAGGCTTAAAGTTACACGAGCAACAAGACGGGTGTCACATGTGAATCAGGATCTGCTTAGATTTCTCGAAGACCTTAGATTACCTCTTTTTTATTGTGTTTGTGTTGCTTACTCCTTAGTATTCTATGTTGTGTGTTGTGCACTGTTGTTTGTCCTTTTATCATTTTTGATTTTTTCCATTGGCACCGTCAGTTTGTTTTCGACTTATGATTTTGAAGATTACTTTTTGGTATCTGTCGCCTCTCTTTGACATTTGGAGACTTGCTTAAGTTAATGACTCATTAAAATTAATTTCCTTTAAAATGATATACCAATATAAACTTATACTGTTAGTCGATAAATGGTTTTTTATATAAATTATTTACACAAAAACTAATTTTAAGGGAGAATGTACACACATTTCATGGTAAGGTACAATCAGCAAATTTGTGAAAATCTTCGTAAAAGCATCTACAGAATAGTCGATTTGTCTTACTTATTACACTAGTTCATGAATTTTCGTCTTAAAAGTGTCATTTTGATCTTAACATCATCTGAAAAGTTTGAACCTAATAACGTTAAGTTTTGTTCAAGTTATATGTCATATGTCGGATATTTTCTTGATTCGAAATCAGAATGGTTGAAACTTTTTGCTTGCAGTCAATTTATACTGATCTGTACCCTTTCAGACAATTCAGTATGTTGTTGTTTAGTACAAGTAAATAATAGCAAAAGCGTATTAACAAAAATACCGAACTCCAAGATAAATTGAAATAGGGGGAAGTCCATAATATACCTGACAATATCAAATATTAGACCGTATCAACATAGCCACAAACGAAACGACTGATACACCACTACAATATTCCTGACTTGGTTCATGTCTTTTTTTCGAAGAAATGGTGGGTTAAACCTTGTTTTATAGCTAGCTAGCTAAACCTCCTACTCGTATGGCATTTGTTAAGTTTCGTTATTTTGACAAAATAGAGTGGGCAACTGAGAAATTTGAACAAAAACTGAACAGATTTTAATTGATCACGAGAAAATTGTTTGAATAGTAATGAATTTACTCAGTGAATATTTCTGAAAATTAACTGAAAAATTTAATTTGTCTCAATAATCTACTGTTCAGTCTTTTTTTAAAAGAGAGATGGAAGATACCAAATTATATTCAACTCATAAGTCAAAAACGAACTGACCGGCAAAAAAAAACACAAAAAAAACGAACAAACATACATACCAGTTACAGAACACAACGCAGACATATAAAGATTGAGCAACACGACCCCCACTTAAAGCCGAGAGTGATGTCAAGTACTCCAGGAAAGGTAACCATATCATGCTCCACATTTGACACTTGTCGTGTTGCTCATGTAAGTCAAAAAAAGTAATATCGTTTTGTTTTATTTCATTCATTTGAGACGGATGTCTAAAAGTTTCCAAACCAAATTGACAAAAATACGTTCGTGAAATGTAAAAGAAACAAATCAAACAATGTATTTATAATTATTAATCAACACAGTAATGTAAACAAACATTGTACGATTCATTTTTTCATGCAAAAACATCAATTCTGAGGTACAAATTATCCTTATTTTTAATAATTGTAAAGGATTTACATTTGACTGTAAAAAATATTGAAACTTTTAATGAAAAAAAGTAAGGTTTAATTATATTTACTCTTATATTTCATGAAAACAACCAAACTTTAATTTATAATTATAATAACAAATGACGGTTAATGATTTGTATTAAAAGGATGAAATAATTGCTTTCTTACTCACTAAATGCACTCAAATATCTGATTGAAAATAAAAGGTATATTCATTTGTTAATTATTCACGTAAGCTGGTACTTGGCTTAATATAAAAATAAGGAGATGTGGTATGATTGCCAATGAGGAAACTTTCCACCAAAGTTAAAATGAAGTGGATGTAAGCAATTATAGGCAACCGTACGGCCTTCAACAATAAGAAAACCCATACCCTATGGTCGGCTATGAAAGGTCCAGACATGAAAGATATGAAACAATTCAATGAGAAAACTAACGGCCTAATTTATAACAAAACAATTTACGAAAAACAAATATGACAGACATGAACCAACGACAACCACTAAAACTACAGGCTCCTGACTTGGGACAGGTACATAAAGTATGTGGCGGGTTAAACATGTTTGTGAGCGCTAAATCCCCCCCTTCCCCCCAACATGAAAAAGTGGTGTAACAAAAACACAGACAAGACGTGGCAGGGTATATATACATCCCTCATCCCTAACAACAACAAAAACACTAAGTACATATCTGGGAGTACTCGCAGTTACCGACTTGTTCAAAGCCAATAAAAACTTATAAAAGAAATCGTGTATCTATGACTGAAATATGTCAATCATTTCACATCCAATGGATTGAGTGTAAAGACGTCATTATCAGTCAGAGAAAAACATGACCTTATGCAATGCCAAAATAAAGGGATCGACAGCTTGTTGTACCGTGAAAGTAATATTTAGTATGGTTTTAATTTACTGATTGAAAAATCAATATTTATACCAATAAAAACAATATTCAAAGATTTAATTAAAGTGTTGAATAGGTAACATCAAAATAAGTTTATTTGAAGGACCGATAAGTTTACCCGGATCGTATCTAAATTTCCGGCCTCGTTTAACAACATCACCGTAAAAGTTAGGATGTGCTATGACGTTTGAAATAAATTTTCTACAGGTACAGCCAAACTTGGAAACCAATTCTTTATATACATGGAAGAATTTAGTAAACGTATTAAGTAGTGTGTGGTAACAAAATCTTTGACTTTATAATTTACTAGTAATAGATAGATTACTCTCATTGAAATCAAAATGGTCACTAAAGACATGAGCATAGTGAACGAATTGGGATATATAAACACCATAAGACAATGCCAAAGGAACATCACCAAGCATCGTTCAAAAAAAAGGAAAATTAACAATAGGGAAAGAAAAATCACCCCTTTTGTGGTATTTTTGTGTAGCGTTTCTGATGTTATATTGAAATATCTTAATCTAGGAAAGGACAGTTATTGCTGTTAATATTTGATTTATTTAAAGTAAGTTCCTTTTGGTCAATTTTAGCAGTAAATTTAGAGAATTCTTGATTATCTAACGAAAAAATATCAGAAAGTGATGTTGAATTTATGAATTAAATTACTCAATATTCTTTCTTCATAGGCAGTTAGTCTCTATTGATGACATATATATTATCGTTGACTGCGTGTTTCTGTTTTTAAAAAACGTCTTTTCCCCGGTGATTTTTACTCTCTCTTTTAATTTTTATTCAAAACCGAACTCTTTTGTTTTAAATGTTCTCGTTTGAATTTTATATTCACTTTGGCTTTGTTATTTTGTTTTTCTATTCTTTGTATATTGGAAAGTCTTTTCTGAATTGTTTCCATTTCTTTAGTAAAGATGTTTCAACAATGTTTCATTTTGGAAAGAGTTTATCTGTAGCCGATAATAGAAAAGGAGAGTAAAGTTGAAGTTGTCGGAAAGGACAGTTGAATAAAATATCTTCCCGACGTTTTATATTCATTTTGAACTTCATCCTCGGTGTTGGGCAGTGTCAATTTGATAACTAAACCTTTTGATATTGTTGCTATCTGTGTACGTTATGAAATTTGAAGCATGATGTTCAGTAAGTTGTATTTTCTTTTTTGTTAAACTTCTGAATTTGTTGGAATGTGTTTTGTTTTCTTTGCTCTTACTATGAACTAACTATAAACGGATAACACAAATCAATACATACCTGATTTGTGTTTTACAATGGTTGTTGATGTCTATTCCTCATCATCATATTAAATGTCTTATTATTAGCTATCTACTTATCTATTTTAAACTTAAACATTAACATGGTAATTGTTCATCTCATTGAATTGTGATTATAGGTTGTAGGACAAGGTGCTAACGTTCAAGCAGAAGGTAGTAGTACTGCGTTTGGTACGCTGACTCTGGAACCAGGAACGGTTTTAGCATGCAATTGGAAGATTTTGAAACTTGACAGAGAAACAGGTGAAATTGGACTTGATTATCCACTTTCAGCACCAAAAAATAAAAGTAAGTATCATTATGATATTAATCAACAGAAATATACAATCTTATTTATATATATGTCTTACGATTTGTGCAACGAAACTAATATAAGATATATATTTATCGAAATAAATGTTGATGAATCCACACGAGTAGTGAAGAACGTACCATAAATAAAGACAGAAATGCAGTAATATATTCAAAATGCTATAAAACAATATTTTATCACATAAAGTATCCATTGTGTCACATTTGTTTCCACCCGCTTTAAGTGTTCAATAACAGATAGATGGCTGTGAAACTCTGTGTCATTAACGAGTTTGTCTAGCGTTACTAAATAGCGAAACAAAAACGTTCCTATGCATGTAAAAATAATATGAAGCAAGTTAATCGAAATAAAGAAAACGATTGTCCTGAAAAATTATAAGTTGAATGTGAATTTTGAAAAATGTATAAAATGACCTGTTAAATTTAGGTTTATACTTGTTAAAATAAATGTTGCGTTATTAATGCGTTCTTGATTTTTTGTTCCATCCGGAAATTGATAGAAAGCGAATAGTTTTAAATATATATAAATAATTTATTTTACTTCAAACGTTCAGATGACCAAAAGTATTTGAATCCTTTATGCGTTGTCGATGAGCAGACTGCAGTGTTATTACAATACAGTTTTCGCGATAACCTTCTTATATAGTTACATTCTAAATTCCACTGTGCACAATTAAAAATATTAATATCCAAGACTTCGTCTGTTTAAAATGGAAATGATTACCCTTCCAACATATTTGAACATATACACCAGTTCGATCGAAGCCATCTTTTCACGTACGTTTCAAAAATCTTAAAATTGTGCTTGAGGTTAAATTACGCTAGACAACGTCGTTTGGACAACAGAATGAAACATAAATGAATATCTGTTATAGAAAAAATTAACCGGTTGTAAGAAGTGAAGATTACATGTCACTTTACAGATATAATGTGACAATCTTCTCTTCTCAATTGGAAAATATATTTCCATTCCTGACTTAACGCTTAAAATTATATGTATGATGGTTCCGAGTTTTATTTTAGACAAAGCTTTGTATTTAAAATAAAAAATCTGATTTTACGCTTCTGCAACTTTAGATACTTTTTTCCATTCTATCAATGTGCCAAGGGAACAACAGAACCGCAGAGAATTAATGAAGATACAATTTTCATTCATTAATTTTTTTTTCTGTATAACGGACACATTCTTATATTCTAACCTCAACATAAGGACTGCGTTACACTTATATCAACGTTACTTCCCTTGTTACGTAGTGTGGTTTTGTATCGCGACGATACCATCGACAACGTTTATATTATCATATTGTACTTTGAATGTTTACCATGAATATATTCCTTGAGTATTGAACCAGGTAGGAATAATGTAAACGACGTTTAATACAACGATATATATGCATTTTCTTCTTTTTTAAAACTTATATATTCGTACTTGTGCGGTTTATAATTGATATTTTTACTGTATATACTATGTATATACATTTTAAACAATCCATATAATTATTGCTAGAATTTGATTTGTGTATTTGTTTGATTTCAGAATGTACAGTGATAGCAAATTCTACTGCTGCAGACTTTATTGATGGCGACGACAAATCTATGGACTGTGAACTGCCTGAACTGTTTGATCTAAAGAGCGCAAGTGAAGATGAACGACACAAATTTAAGACTGCAATTACAGCTATCAAGAAATGTTCCCGTGACATAGATGAACTAATGAAAATGGTAAGCATGACACAATGTCTAAGCCTCTAAGGCATTTTCGCTGTGTAAGTAACCTAATTATAGACACCAGGCTTAAAATTTCGTACGCCAGACGCGCTTTTCGTTTGAAATAAAGATTCATCATTGAGAAAAATTCCGAATGGTTTTACCAAACACAGCTTAGGATTTTGTTGTTTATACATATTTATGTATACCGTTTGATCATTTGTTTTAGTTCGTTCAGTAAATTGTACTTTTCTCCTACTTTAGAATAACTAGCTATTCTTATTTTGTCGTCAGATTCATGTATAAGTCATAATGATTACATTTCTTGTATATGTATCAATAATAAAGCGTTTCAATTTAATGGTGTTTCTGTCATCACAAATATTGATTATTCGCTCTATTCCATTCTTTTGATTAATCTATGATAAACTGTCTTTTGATTTAATAGCTTGTTTTCTTTTCAAATTACATTGCATCAAGTAATGTACTATTTGCTAAAACATATCATTGTTTATAAACATAAACGTTAAATACCATCTTTGATTTAATATGATGATATATCTATCTTATAAAATATAGATGCTTTCAATTGAATCAAGGTTTGAAAGGAAACATGGATATCTTGTATGGGGTTCAAACCCCAACGAGCTTTATCCAAAAATGCATTGAAACGTCGATTTTAGTTTTTTAAAAGGTAGTTTCATCCGCCAGGGCAGTTATGTATTTGTTATGTCAAGGTATGGTTCTCTACAGTTACAAATGTAAGCTTGGAACTGCTGGTTGTCCCCCTAAGTAACATATTAAGTTAGAGTATTTATCAGAGAAGAAGAAAAATGCCCCCTTGTATTTCGTATTGCATCGGTGTAATTCCGGAGTTTGAAGATGGGAACGTTTACATATAATGGGATCATAAAATTTATACCGTATTCAAAACAAACGTTTCTATTGTGAACCTATTTACAAATAGTTTCATGTAATGAACACTGGTTTCACATCTGTACATCTATTCTAATTACCTGTACATGATAATTTTTCACCAAGGTAAACTTCTTGTACACGTGATTTACACGCACATTACATATGTCTGTAAATGTTTTATACCAGTAAGGCGCAGACCATTTAAGAAAAAAATATATTTGTGTTAGGAAGGAAAATTAAGTGGGAAAAATCTTTTGATTCCATTGAAAATGAAGGGCGGTGGGATTCAACATGGAACTTAAGATGATACGTAGGCTAAAACAGCGCAACAATAGGCGAAAAAAGGATTTTTGAAATGATTGTTTGATTGATTTTTGTTTGCTTAACGTCCAATGGCAAATATTTCATGTATGTTCAAGACGAGAAATAATTCACCATAAATACAAAAAATTGGTACTGTAATAGAGGCCGTCCGGGAAATTTGGGCTGCCTTTGGAAAGTGAGAGCATATTATAGGGGCTGATATTTTGCCTTGCAACAGGCCACCTATGGACATCTTAAAAAGTTGTTGCCATGGTGGTTTTTAACCTGCAAAGAGCGCGGCACTTTCTCTACACGAGGCATCGGATTTAATGTCCCCATTATGACTGAACGTGGTTTAGTACCTGTATATCCCGCATAGCCGAACGGACTCCCTTCTTTGGCAAGAGTTTAACTGCCGATCGGAATGGGCACAATTCTGAAAATGACGAATATAATATGAAATATAACTGGTAAGCCACACGGGATCAAGATAGCGTGATATCAAAAAATTAATTGTTTGAATCTTTTTCAAACCAGACATGTAAACACATCTAAGTGTAATAGTCTAATAGCAGAAGATATTCAGTGTCTCATTTCTTTTTATTTGTTGATTTAAAAAAAAATTGCCATAGAGTGAAAGGAGTGGTTGGGGTTATCTTATTTTAAAAACAGAGTATTAGGTAATTTCGATTTATTCTATATTCCAACGGACGGTCATTCCAAATGCTAATTTTGTGAGGTAAAAGTATGAGATCTGACAAGTGCTGATGCAAACTAATGTGGTCTCTTTTATTTTGGGATAATCAAATAGGTGTATATTGAAAATTTGAATGTGGATTTCAAATGTCAGATTTGCGATGTCTGCGAAAATTACAAGAAACTATGACGTCAGATTCAGTGTTCCGAAGAAAGACAACTCTTTTCTTATTTTCTTAAAAACAAATAAGCAAACAAAACATGAAATTACTCATAACTTGTTTTAAAGTTCATATACTTTTCTTGGGTAGATTTGAAATAGTACATACAGCACTATACCTTATAGAAATATTCATGGAGAAATCACTGGTAACTGGAAAAGTTTTTCATTCTTACATATTAATTTTACCGAGAATAAAACAAGTCGTTCTGTTAAAGATCATAAACACCTAGGAACATTAACTCTAGAATTTTTAATTGATAGATTCGATCTACTGTTTAACGTGAGAACAAGAATGATGCTTGTAGGCCTAGGTTCTATATCAATGGATTATTTGAAGCTTCAAATTACAACCAAAATTTTTTTAAATATAAAATCACGAAACTGAGGTTGCTATAGTGAAAACATTAAGTCAGTGACCACCAATTTTTCTCATTATATTTTCCTCCCTAAATCATGAAATACCCTGTGCCAAAATTTGAAAAACAAATCACTGGTAGAACTGAATATGCTGTTTGGTCTTTTAGTAGTTTCACAGAAATTATGAAGCATGCTTTCGATTGGTGAAAAAATAGTTATAATTTGGCAAATAGGTTTGTTTCGTGGAGCAATAAGCTGACCAAGAAACTTTGTACGCAAGAATACTTAATATGTAATTTGGGTATATAGTAAATTGAGGAAAAAATTATGTTTATCTTTCGAAGTTTGCTTTAGTATGTGTCTTTATATGTACTGTTAACAAACTGAATTGTAATTTACATCATGTAATTCACAAAAAAAGGCTGGACAACAACATATTTTTCATTGTGGTAAGACAAGAGCTTAGCAACATTTTTGGCTTTGAGATCGGTATAGCACGAGTGTTAATAAAATGGTCTTCCTTTCTTAACCTTAAGATTCAGGGCCCCAACTCAACGATTTTACAATGTGATTTTATTTCCATATTAACGATTTTAGATCTGTAAAGGATGGGTTGTTAATTTATATATAATTCAACACGGTGTTTCATTTAAATGTAGTTTGAAAACAAGATTGCAAACACAAAGACATTGCAAGAGAAAGTAAAGCACAGTGAAGCTGTATTTTCACTCCTGAGTTTAGCCGGGTACACCGTGGAAGTAAGTATTAATATGTAGGTTCTTTTTAAGAAGCATCGAGAAGAGTTTGGAAAGGAAGTCAATTCAGATTGTACAAAATATAAGAAATTATACTCCGATATATAGCTGTGTTCTATAATGAATCATTATCTTTCAATCAATGACAAATGATAATTGGATACGACGAAAATTGTTAAAAAATAAAGAGGAAAATTATAAGAGGACTATAAAAAAATCACACGCCTTAGTAAACCAATGCCAAAGCAAAAAAGACAAAATCGACGAAAAAAACAACAGTCTATTTAACACTCCTACAGAAATAAGTCTGAACAGTACGAACCTCGCACCCCACCAAAACAACTGGTTGATTTTGGGAAACCTCGGAAAGGTATTCCATTTCTTAAGAAATTGATTTATTAAATGCTGCAATTTCACATTAGTAAGATAAGTTTGTCATGGAGCCGTAATTTTATCTCAAGTGTATAACAATTTCATTGCCGCTAGTAAGTTCATACGGTCATCGCTGTTTTGAACATGACCGTTAAATTCAATGTATAACGCATTTGTGTTTCTTTACTCATTGTTTTAATACAGATATCATATTACAGGTCTTTTTTGGTTTTCATTCTGTCCTTATTGCTGTGTAGTCTTGATGTTAATGATTCTTAAAAACTGTTAGATAGTGTTGAATGCGGCCTTCATGGTATGGAAATAAAAGTATGAGGATGTTGACGTGCGAGAGAGCAGAGTCTGACTAGTCATTGACAATTGACATGTAGTAATGATATCATATAATCATAACATAAAGTGTATATGAAAACAACAAATTCATAATATATATGTAGATATAAACATGAGTGATATTAAATGGTGCCTTTGACGAGTAACATGGGAAATTTCACTGTTGCAAATAAACATAACGAGAACGTGCCGATATTTTATTTTTCCCCTACCGTTAAGATAAGTTTACAAATGCATTTCATAGACAGACAAATGACTTGAAATTTCATGTAAAAATGCTGCAGACGTAACCTCTGTTGCAGTGAATGTCTATTTGATCAGTGTTAATGCATATATGTGTGTATGTAGCTCATAGGTAAATATAATTTCAAAAAGATATAATAAGAATCTGGGGCATATATATTTTCCATGTCCGCGTCATTCCGCCATTCCGTAAAAATCAAACAGGTTTTCAGGCTTATTTCGTTTTGATTTAAATTTGGAATGTATAATGACAAACAGACCAAGTTCTGATTAGCCGACTTTCCGCAAAATCATGGACCTTGGACGAAGACAGTTTTAGAAATTGTATTTGTCCGGAGTATATTTTTTTTTACAATATTGACTTATATTTTGAACTTGGGTTTGCTCCAGTTTAGTGAATTTTGCGAAATGTTAAATATTTCGACAGGCAATAAACAGCAGACCAGCAGGCATTTAAAACAAATGTACACGTTCAATGAATTTTTTTAAAACAAATAAGTGATATAGTCCTTCACGGTTCACGCATATATATTCGTGGATTGCAATCTGCAAGAATATATCGCATCTGTTATCGGAATACATTTGTACGTTTATAGTCAACTGTGAGATTCGGATTACTGCCGAGTTCATATACATGTAGCTTACAATCGGTTCAATTTGGGGAAAAAAATGAACCGATTGTAACCTTGATTTTACTTCTTTCGTTTGCTCTTATTTGACCGAGTACTAGGTTGTTCTACCACAGAGTAGGTAACCTGTCGAAAAAGTTTATAATCCGGAGTCAAAGTCGGTAATATAAAAAATAGTATATTGTCCTGTTTATTGTGAGGAATATTTTAAGCGAAAATGGAAATGAATGTGGCATTTTTCAACTTTATGCAGATTTAGCGAAAGAGACCCACATAAAATTCTACTTTCAATATGCAAATGAACAAGAAGTTTCTTAAATTTAAAATTTCGTTTTTATATAAAGTTAAGTGGCAATATTAATTAGGAAACAATAAAAATTTTGTAATAACCATTGCAAATGGTATAGCTTTCAATAAAAGAGTTACCACATATATCTTTATATAAGATAGACTGGTCAAGGAATGGTAAACTTACATTAAACAGCACATATTATATTCTGAAAAACTTAATTTCTTTCTGTTTAGTGATATGTTATCAAATTACATGTTTTTTTTTCTGGATGTTTAAACCCAATTGTCCACATGAAAAAATATCTTACTCGAATGGGATATACTGCTCTGTAGTTTTTAATTCCCTCTGTTTTTCAGAAAATCATGTCACAACATTTCTTATTTTTTTGTTTAATGATTTTGTCGATTATTCCTAAAAAAAAACCATATATATATGATATTTTAGGGTGAATTTGTTCGAACAATCTGTTAAGTATATCATGAATAATACCGATTTTGGGGGGAATGTGTTGTCTGTGTAATGCTTTGATTGATATCAAACTATCTATTACAATTTAAACCAGCGTAATTTGATTGGTTTTATATACCACTTTCAGTTTTGGATTTATAAATGAGAATTCATTATTTTCGAACGGGTCTTTAAAACATATATATATATATATATATATATATATATATAGATTGCCTAACAATGTAATTTTAACACACTATTTAGTATGTAAATATAAGAATGTTTAAAATATTTACAAAATGATGAAAATAAACGCAATATTTCGCTAGACTAACTAGCTTTATCAAGCGTGCATCTATCCAGGTGAAATCGGATGTAGATGATAAGAAACTTTTGCAGCTCAATGTATATGTTGCACTTGAATTTAGCTGCCTTGAAAATAATACACAATTTGGATGAAGTTCAAGATTTTTACAAAATTGGTAGTTGAAGTTAGCAACGTCCATTGGCCAATATTACAGGATAAAAAGGACGATGCTGTGTACTAAATTATTCTTTATCTTTCCTGTATCTTTTCTCATCTTTTTCGTTAAGACCATCAAGTTCTAAAGTGTGGAGTTGGTGGATCCAAAAATTTTCTCTTCTCCTTCTCGCCGTGGTGTCCCACTCGTTGTTGACTTCTATGATTTGGAAGGTAACATTATCAAAAGAATGTTTCGTTGAACGAAGATGTCTTGTAAGAGGACAGTTTTTGTTGGTTTTGTACCATGAACGATGGTTATTGAGCCGAATATTAAATTTGTCCATTGTTTCTCCCACATACTGAATGCCACATGTGTCACATGTTAATATATAAATTGAGTTCTCCGTTTTACAGTTAGAATTTGAGTAGATGGTATAATTTTGTTTAGTAACGGAGCTGATGAAAGAACTGCTTGTATTGGCAGTTTTACAACACAAGCAGTTCCTTCGACCACATTGTTTGTAGCAACCGGGAGATGGAGTAGGCTGCTTTGCTAATACAGATGTCACTAATTTTTCACGGATGTTTTTAGGTCTTCTGAAGGCCATGACTGGTGGTGAGGAAAATACTTTTTTAAGATTTGAATCGTTTTCTATAATTTTCCAATGCTTCTGAACAATGGAAGACACATTTTTAAAATCAGGATGGTAAGTGAGTACAAGGGGTGTTCTGTTAGCTGCTTTATTCTTATCTTTGTACTCTAGAAGTTCTTGGCGACTAGTTTTGTTTGCTCTTTCGAAAGCGCTATCAATGATGTTGTTATTGTATCCTCGAACAACTAGATGTTTACGTAACAAGACACTTCGTTCAACGAAACATTCTTTTGATAATGTTACCTTCCAAATCATAGAAGTCAACAACGAGTGGGACACCACGGCGAGAAGGAGAAGGGAAATTTTTGGATCCACCAACTCCACACTTTAGAACCTAATGGTCTTAACGAAAAAGATGAGAAAAGATACAGGAAAGATAAAGAATAATTTAGTACACAGCATCGTCCATTTTATCCTGTAATTTTGGCCAATGGACGTTGATAACTTCAACTACCAATTTTGTAAAAATCTTGAACTTCATCCAAATTATGTATTATTTTCAAGGCAGCTAAATTCAAGTGCAACATATACATTGAGCTGCAAAAGTTTCTTATCATCTACATCCGATTTCACCTGGATAGATGCACGCTTGATAAAGCTAGTTAGTCTAGCGAAATATTGCGTTTATTTTCATCATTTTGTAAATATTTTAAACATTCTTATATTTACATACTAAATAGTGTGTTAAAATTACATTGTTAGGCAATCTATAATTTTATTTGTGTAATTGAATTAATCTCTGTACTGATTAATCCACACTCCCATAGATTTGTATGTCATGTGCTGCTATTTATAGGCACTTATATATATATATATATATATATATATATATATATATATATATATATATATTATTCAATTCAATTTCTTTCAAACAAACATTTATTTCACATTAATAAATTGGATTGTTCTTAAACAGTACTTACCAATTGCCCAAATTTGACGAATGACATTGGCCATGGCGTTGTCAGTTTGTTTTCGATCTATGAGTTTCACTGTCCCTCTGGTATCTTTCGTCCCTCTTTTCAAAAAGACGCTTAGTTAACGACTTCAATGCACCCAAATAACATACGGCTATATTATATATCATTCGAAAGCTTATTGTCTGTACTTTCTGTTTTGCCCGGTCGTCAATAATTCGTACGATGCAATTTTTGTAAAATCAAGGTCAAAGGTCAAGAATGAACAGTCCTAAATTTCGCAAGAATAAAACAAAAAGCCCTTTGTTGGTTCATGTATGATATTTTTTTTCTAAAAAGCATATGGACACAATGGAATAGAATACCATAATTCCAAATCAAATGCATATTAAAATTTTAATTACGCAATATTTACAGAAAGTTGCAATTCTCTATGAATTGTTCAAAAATGATAAAATTGCGCTAAAAGCAAAATATATCTTTCGGTATCAATATGAATATGTCACAAATAAAATAAAATGGTTTATAGAAGAAGGGATTTTATTTTCGCCATTTTAAACTGCAATTGAAATAATAATGGCCAGGAATCAGCCTTCTAATGAACCTTTAATTAAATACCACCTTCTGCTA